AACCCCTAAACCCAAAACCCCCCCCCTTAAGCCCCCCCTTCAGCCCCCGATCGACCTCGAAGTTTTGGGCAAGTTCCGCTTGGAGGAAGGCGCTGGTTCCCGGTTTGGTATTGCTTAGGCTGTAAGGTTCAGTGTCAGGCTTTAGGGCTTAGGGCTTAGGGTTTAGGGTTTAGGGTTTCAGGCTTTAGGGCTTAGGGTTTATAGGGTTTAGGGTTTGGGGGGCCTTTTATTGGCTTGAGATTGGATTCGGGGACTGTCTCCCTCAGCCAGTGCAGGCATATTCGTTTACACACGACCCTGGGCTGAAATTGTTTTCGGCTCTTCAAAGGAACGAATCACTGTTGAGTGCATGCATTTACCCGCGTTCAACTAATGTAGTTAAGATGCTCCGCTCGGCAAACTCGGCAAACTGACCTAAAAACTCTTTGCACCGCCTCGTCAGTTGCCGAGACCGCTCCGCGATATGGAGGCAGGTGCCCCCCAAAGCTAATCTTCTAAGGGGCGGGGGTATTAAGAAAGCTCAACATCAAGATCTACATGACATCAAGATTCCGACTAAGATCCCTATAAATGACATCAAGATTCCGATGAAGATCCCTATAAAGATCCCAATTGGGATTCCTCTTGAGTTTCCGATAAAGTGCAAGAGGCCCAAAGAGCAGGTCGGGGGCTTTTGGGGAGGTACAAACTCTATGATCCGAAGCTGAAGGCAAGCGACCATAATTTTGAAAGGGTTTGGGGTTTAGGGCTTAGGGTTTAGGGTTTAGGGTTTAGGGTTTGGGGCCTGGGGTTTAGGGTTTCGGGTTTAGTGAATCCAGAAACCTCGTCCCAAACACCGAAGGCTCTAGGCCCGAAGGCCCGAAACCCTAGCCTCGGAAGCTGAACTCTCCGACGCCTTCCTCTCAGGTCGCATCGAGGAAGCGTCGACATGGAGGTTGTGACCTGAAGGCGTTCTTTGCTCCGGTTGGCAGCTGTGGGTTTCGGCTTGGGGCCTTTGTGGTTCAGAAATTTGGGGTACAAGTTTGAGAGATTCGGTTCGGTGTTTACTGCTTAAAGCATGAAGGTTGGAAGGGCTTTGACTGCAAAGGCCTGTTGCGGTGAACTGAGGTTTGCATGCTTTGAGGCGCCGGACTTTAACTTCAATCCCGAGCCCTGAACCGTTTCTCCCATAAACCACTGACCCGGAAGCTCTTCAAACCTGAAGCCCCGAATGAAGCGCCTGGTTCACAGGAAGCGAATGGCACTCCCACCTGTTCCGAAGTCAAAGCCAAAGAAGGCTACGGATCCTGGGAACCACAATGATATTGGGGGGGGGGGGCCTTGATGGTTCCAGCAGGGCTTTGGGGGGACAATATGCAATAGGTATAAGAGGGAGTGGATAATAGCACTCAGTAAGAAAGTGAGATGCCCTTTAAAAGACAAGAAAGGAGTTCATTTCACAGCGCCTCGTCCGTGTTGCTGGCAATCAGGTAGGCATCGATGTTATAAGCTCACGGTTGCTGTTACTGTTATCATTGCTACTGCGCCAAAAGAAGCTCCAAGCACTACCCAAACTCAACTCGCCTCGGAGCCATCCGGAGACTGGAAAGGCCATGTGGCGGATTCCAGAAGACCTCCCAGGGGTTTGGGGGCTTTGCCTGAGGATTGGCTTTGGTGGCCTAGGGACCTATGGGATTCACTCCGGGTTGAGAGTCAAAACCGGATTGAGGGGCTTCTTTACAAGAGACTTGCCATCCAACCCCAAGCCCTAAGTCCCAAACCCGAAAACCCGAAAGGCCTGAAACCCTAAACCATGCAGTCAAGCCCTCGGGCTTTGGATCCACGGCTTGCGGCCGTTCACGGAAACTACAGCAAGCCGCAAGAGCACTGGTCCAAAACATGTCGCTCGGAGCAACTAGCTGATTCTCTGCTTCACATGGAGTGCTTGAACCGGATGGCATCCCGAAGCCCTAACCCTGAACCTGAAACCCTGATCCTTAAACCGAAACCCGAAATCTCGATCCCTAAACCCTAAACCCTAATTGACCCGAGGAGGCTGGCCAGTGCCCCTCTCATCACAGCCGGCGTGGGAGGTTGTAGTAAACGCGGATCTGTTGTAATTCAACGACCGTAGTTTAGAACAACCCCGAACCGAAAACCGTAAAATGCATCACACCATACCAAAACATACTGTAATATACAATAACACACCTTACAGTGCCTTACAGTAACAGCCATAGCATACCAAAACCTACTACAACATGGTGCCCTGATTGTGACTCGCGCCTCCCGCCGTCGTTCGGAAGAAGGCACCGAGACGGCGGCTACGGCCCAACAGCGACGACGGCAGCGGCCCGAGCCTACTATAGGGGCCCTCATAACTAGAACAAGGTTGTGACGGGTGTGGGGAATATTCTTCTGAGCAGTAGTAGTAGCAGTAGTAGCAGCAGTAGCAGCAGCAGTAGCAGTAGCAGTAGTAGTAGCAATAGCAGCAGCAGTAGCGGCAGAAGCAGTAGCAGTAGCAGAGTAGTCGTAGTAGTAGTAGTAGTAGTAGTCGTAGTAGTAGTAGTAGTAGTAGTAGTAGCGGTGGTAGTAGTAGTAGTAGTCGTCGTAGTAGTAGTAGTAGTACTGGTACTAGTACAAGTAGTAGT